GGCGTGGTAGTGTAAGCTTCTGCTTCGGACCATTCCAGTCTGTGGCGATGGCGATCAGTCACACAGGAGACTTTCCTGAAGAGCACCTTAGACCCAGGTATCTTAACCCAAAGCCCAGAGCTGTTTGTTAATCGCAGACAACTTGTTAGAAGCGTAATCTGCCGCACTGCTGGGTGTAAGCAAAGCCTCTCGCTTCCCCAAGACCGTGACCCTAAATCTCAGGTATTCCGACTGTATCATCGAGGAAAAGGGCCCATTAACAAAACCCTAAACCCTAAACCCTGAATCCTAAACCCTTCCAAAATCTAGTACGGTATCGACGGCCTAGGCTTTGGGATCCTTTGGGGCTGAGCCCAGTGTACTGCGGGTACTGCTGTCAGATTCAGACTTTTCCAGGACCCTCCTTGCACGCTCAAAGAGGGCTATAGGGTCCCAAAGTATGGGATATTTCGGGTGAAAGAATGGGGGTAGATGGTCCCAACAGGGCTATAGGGTCCCTAGGTATGGGATATTTAGGGTGGGAGAAAAGGGGGGGGTAGATGGTCCCAAAGAGCGGGTATTTGGGGTCTAGAAGAGGGTAGATGGAGGGTCTAGGCCCAGGTTTCGACTGCAACTTGCGCTGCGCAATCATCGCAAGTATGACAGTGGGTCGTGCGAATTGACACGGGGCATTTTCATTTTGCGACTTGCTGAAATATAGGACTTCAGGCAGCATAGCACGATGGTAAACGTGTACGAACTTTATATAATCGAAGCAGGCATTTCACTGCACATTACATTCCGTGGAACCTTGAAGCCCCAGATTTGATCGTGCTTCTGTCTTCTGTCTTTGTGTGTGTGTGTGTGTCTGTCCCTCTCTCCCTCTGTCTGTACATGTGCTGGTGCATCTGCTCAGGAATTCTCTTGTCTATGGTACAAAAGTTTGGTACCTGGACCCGCCTGGCCGCGAGATCGTTGCCCACGAGCCCATGTATGATGCTTGGCTTCAGTGGTCGGCCTACTTGGCTCTACGATGCTTCTAGTTTAGGGTTTAGGGGTTTAGGGTTTAGGGTGGTAATCAGAGAGTAGTTGCCGGATGTTGCGCTCGAGACTTCGGCAGTGCAATCTGGTAGGTTCGAAAAGCTACATACCAGCGAGCATCCAGCGTCTTTCCATGGAGCAGTGGACATGACGGCCACAATTCCCAACTTCCTTAACGGTCACAAGACTTCAAGCATACATTTGCTGTCACATTTGCTGTCCAAGGAGTATCTCAAGCGCACCAAGGGAGCGTGCCGCGCTCAGGGGAGCACTTCTAACGGTTGCTGCACGCAGGCAGCTCCGCGACGTCCTCGTGCTAGGGTTGTGCTTGGAAGGTCGTTTAAGGTCGTTTGGGGTTCTAGCGGCCAGATCCATATGCCCTGACGGAACAAGCCTGTCCGTCACAGATCGGAAACCCTTCCAACAACGTCATAGAAGCGTTTCAACGGGATCGTCATGCACAACCCTGTCCTAAGGTCCAAGTCCAAGTACCCAATCAGCATGGTTTTAGGACCTAAAATTGCTTGGACTCTCTGGGTGTTAGACAACTGGTATACTATCATACAGAATCACAAATGCAACGAGAATAGATACTTACTATTAGTCATGTTACTATTCTTGTTGTTATATATATATATATGTATTGTTTTAAGTACTTTCTTTGGGCAGAAATAAAGGGGTATGAAGGGCATGTCATACCCTTCAACTTCGCAGTAATCTTCATGGGAGGGAGCGCTGATGGCCGAGGCCCGGATCCTTGCGCTGTCTCCAGGAGCCTGGTGATTTGCTGTTCTTGTCCGGAGCCTCAGGGGTGATCTTAGGGTTTGGAGATGGTTAGAGTTGAGGGGTTTAGGGTTGTGGGTTTGGGTTTGCGGTTTCTGGTATAGAGATCAGGGGTTGATGATCGTTTGCTACAGGGTCCCAACGACGACAATAGAAGCCTTAATTGCAGTATGATCGAGAATCACTACAGTCGTGCGTGCAGCGACGGCACAAGTAATAATGAGATTGCCCTTGGTATGTTACTACACTATACGACACTGTCCGTACTGTACTATACAAAACTATGTTTTACTCTTCTGTACTATACTTGGCTAGACTGTACCATACTTTACTGTACTTTACCATACTGTACAAGAACTAATACTACTATAATAGTACTATATTGTATTATACTATACTTGACTAGACCACATACACTGTATCATACTACGGCACTGCTATATTCTACTAAAGACTACTAGACTATACGTTGCTATACTAAACTGTTACTAGGCTAGACTAAACTCGACTCGACTATACTCTTTACTACACTATACTTTGCTGCATGATACTTTATTTTCTTATACTGTACTATACTCATGCTTTTCTATACTATGCTAATACTGTATTGTAACTAGGCTAGACTAAACTCGACTCGACTATACTCTTTACTATACTATATACTATATTTTACTACACGATACTTTACTTTCTCTTATATTATGCTATACTAGTACTTTTTCCATACTATGCGAATACTGTACTACAACTAGGTTAGACTAGACTCGACTTGTGACTTGACTATGCTCTATACGCTATACTGTGCTATGCTGTGCTATACTATACTATACTGTACTATACTATAAGAGCTAAGGGCCCGTGGCTGGACTCACGGAGCACTTTGCCTGGGCGACTGCGTGGGTGCTTCCATAGAGCTGCTTGGGCTGAGCCGGACGGTTGCGGGTTTAGGGGATTTGGGTTCAGGGTTTAGTTTTCGTGGTTGTTAGGATTGGAGTTTAGGGTTTAGTTCTTGGGATTTCTAGGATTTGGGTTTTAGGGTTTGGGTTTAGGGTCTAGGGCCCTTGATCCTTCGACCGGTTTAGCACTGAAGGCTTTGAGCTGTGTAGCACTTGAGGCTTGGGTTTTGATGTCCTGGATTCTGAGCCCTTTTCCCTCCGATCCTCCGGAGGCTTGTCGGAGAGCGTAGAAAACGGACAAAACAACAGCTCAAACAGAACAGGTTCAACCCTGAAGATTCAGAGCATCTGTACCCCAGGGTTGCCTTCAGGTTGAGTTCCGGAGAATGGACTTCGACAGCTTTGACTGACATGTGAGTAGTTTTCTAAATTAGGGTCCCGTTTAGGGTCCTTCTTAGGGGACCCTAATTTAGAGAACTACCCCTGTTTTGACATTAGCAGCTTTGGGTTTCCATTCAGTGCTTAGGTAGGTTGTGGCGTGGGACAGAGCTGGGCATCGGCCAGAACTCTTCGAGCCAGACGGTATCCTACGAATAGACGAGAATGGTTTGAGGAGTTTAGGGTAACTCTCAGAAAGTTCCCCTCCCCCATCATGATACACATCGTTGCAACAGCGGGTGGCACGGGGAGTACGTATATCGAGAGATTCCAAATCTCTTTAACAAAGGAGTATATACCTCAAACTATAATCGGAACCCTAATATGATTTAGGTATATTCCGAATATGATTTAAGGCATGTTCCTTAATTAGTTAAGGGGTGTTGCAGTCTCTGGTATGGGCTCCAGTTACAAGGCCGGGGCTTTCCCAAGCTCCCCAACCGTCGCAGCTTTGTTCCGCTTCGAGGTTCCGGCTCTTTACCCGAAATCTTTTCGAGGTGCCTACATCATTATGGTAGTACTCTTGTCATTGTGATCAGTATTATGACTAAAACGAACTGCGGGTACTGTTGCATTGTGATAACTATTGCTACAGGAAGCACAAGTCAGAACAATTCCCCATGTCACAGCACTGAACCAGCTGAGGTTCAGCCACACAAACTTCGACCTCCGCGACTGAGACCCTGTAGCACCATTGTAGGTAGCCAAAGCACCTGTGACTCGATAAGGGTTTAGGGTTTAGGGTTTATAAATAGGGATAATTAGGGTTTAGGGTAGCTGAATCCTGAGCCCGTAAGCCTCATATGAGGCCTGACTGCACACATAGTTCCGGATCTAGTAGCGTCTATCGGGTGCTAGATATTAATCGGAGTTTCAGAGAATCATGGATCGCAGGTTATTATATTCCTTAAAAAGACCGACCCTTATGAAGTGCAGCCCCGAGCCAGGGCTGAGACTTGGGGCACCATCACCCTGATCCCCAAAACGGAAACCCTAAACAGCGTACGGTGCTTTGAGAAGTAAGCGCATGTGTCAGTCAGCCTGAAAAAACATCATCACGAAGGCTGGCAGATGCTGTCTTAGGTAGGCTTGTGTTGAAGCGCATGTCACCCGAGCGCTGCTCAGAAGAAAATGAAGAAGTTTCGAAAAGCCGATGTACGATTCGGGAGTTGGAGTTTAGGCTTCAAGGGTTTAGGGTTGGTTAAGGGTATCCTATGTATTGTGCGGCTTGTGTTTTCGAGAGGGGGCTCTTCGTTTTTCTGCAGGGACTGTGAAGGCCAAGACTTTGCAGCGTCTTACTCAAGCACCCTAGACCCCAAACCCAAAGAACCCTAAACCCTGAACCCTAAACCCGCTGGCATGCTAGAGTTCCTCGAGGATAGGTTTCTGAAGGCACAGTAATGCCCATGGCCCAGGTCCTCTCAAGGCCCTACACAACACCTGACAGTCCCGATAGAATTTAATTTCACTATATCCGGAAGCCCTTCACCAACAAAAAAGCTACAAAGCCAAAGAACTAACTAAACCCGAACCGCTTAAAGCTCTTCAACATGCTCAAACCATCTTGGACCCTGAAACCCTTAAAGAGCTAAACCCTAAACCCTAAGGTAATCCTACACCCTAAGCCCTAAATCCTAAGGTAGCCCTAAACCCTAAGCCCTAGGTTAGCACTAAACCCTCAACCCTAAGGTAACCCTAAAACCTTAAACCCTAAGGTAGCCCTAAAACCC